CCCAGGGCCCGCCACTATGCGTTCCATACGTGTAGATGGAAAAGGGGGGCTCACCACATCCTGAGAGAGAGAGTAACTAAGAAGAAATGGACTGAGAGCCAGAAGATCTGGGTAACTAGAATAAACTTGGCTTCTAAATCAGTTCATATTTATCCAGGTATATAACTTAGATAAATAATGTGATCCCTCTAAGCCTTGGTTTCCCCTACCTGTAAAGCAAGGGGCTTGCTTACATGTGGGGCACATACACACTTGCAAGCAATATACTCACACACGTAAGATAATAAAAGTAATAAAGTTAAAAGAGCCAAGAGCTTGACTTCAATCGACAATGCCACTTTCCTCAACAACAAATGCAATCGAAGGGCCGAGATAATCCACACAGCATTGCACAAACAGGGGAACCAACGAACAGCTTGGTTTACTAAAGAAGAAAGGTCCCATCATCCTATGCGCTATTCTCCTTTCCATTCAGTCCTCTTACACTGGCCAAGAGCTGTCAGTCACTGCTTGGAGTTCAGAACCCATGATTGATTTTGCTCATTAAACAAATTCATGTAGATGCTACGACCGATCCACTTCCTGCTCTTTGTAGGTGACTTAACTCAATGGTGTTCAGATTTATCAGCGGTGTGGCATGCATCTGGCTAACTTGTTTTTATATCTGATAAATATTCTATTATGTGAACATACTTTGAATTGTATTGAAATATATTTAGCTGAGGTAATAGTTTGCATAAATTAAGATGAACACTTTTTTAAAAAAAATAATCTGGCAAATTCTGATAAATTTAAGTACTTTAGGAACTGTCTTTTCCTATCCCTTCTCTTTCTATTTTTTTTTTTTAACACTGGGAATTCCAACTGGAAATTCTCCTGTCTCTGCCTCCCCCTGCCATGTCTTACTGGAACCTGGAGCCAAAATGCCAATTTTAAAATGCTTCTAGAATCACTGACAACTTCTCTCAAGCCTCAAGCCTCAGTGCCCAGGCCTCCAATTGGCCACCAACCTGATTTTTAGTCCCCGTAGCTTTGACTTTCCTATCCTGACCCTATGTATAAACTGGATCATAAGATATTTTCCATCTGTTTTACTTTCTTCAATAATTTTTTTTGTATTAAAAAAAGTACTTATGTAATTTTTGATTCTCTCTTGCTGAATGAGATTGGGATTTTATACCATCTAATAACGAGGGGTGCTGCAGGGTGATACCCAGCAGCATTTCCACTCCTTTCCATCAGCGGGCACTTGTGCCGCTTCTGACTTTGATCTGTTGTCAACAGACCTGCAGGACCTCTGGGTAAAGCATCTCTTTCCTCCAGGGGCTCTTGGTGAGGCAACATTTGATTATAATACCGTATTAGAAGCAGCAGCAGCAGATTCACAAAAATGCTGTCACTGGATCCGATTTGCATATGTTTGATTTGCAAACACTCAGAAACTAGACTCACCTCAGTCTATAAAATGTGTGCCTTTATTGCAGGAGATGCATTCCTTATTTGTCCTTTGAGTTGACGACTGGTCTTCTGCCTTCCTACATCCCCAGCCACTTGACAGTTGTGATTATTAGAGAGTCGAGATGCTTTCAACTGGCATTGGCTGAGATGCTAAACAAGATTTTGGCTGCTTTCATTCGTTATCCACAGTGCTCATTGGTCAGATGCATCTCCCACCTTACTCCCAAAGACACCGAAGCAGAGATCTTAAATGACCAGCCTAAGGACTTTGGGATGTCTGTCTTAGCTCCCCAGTCCTCACTCTACCCAAAGCAGAGAGAAGGCAGCTGGACTTCCTAGGAATATCATGTCTCCTGCTTAACTAACAATAAGTATAATAAATGTCCCTGAAAAATGGTTCTATCCATCCCTTCTTGCATATCCCCCAGCTCCAGGTTCAGCCCACACAGCCTTCTGTGAGTTCTCCTAAAGTCTATCCGCTCTGACTTCTCCAAACGTCAGCCATCCAAGGGAAGCTCAGGCAAAGCAGGAAAGCAGGACTTTCCGCTCAGCAGAGGCCTCCAGTCCTGCCAAGTTCTCGGCAGTCAGGCGCCTGGAGGTGGGCCCCGAGCACTCTATCATTGCATAAGTGTTATTGCAGCCAGTTCCTGGAGTCGGAAATATGGCAAACCATTCACCTGGTGGAAAGCCCTTGCCAGGAGCCATGGTTGTTTGGTTAGCTGTGACTTCACAGTCCTTTCCAGGAGACTGGCCAGAGAAAAGGTTGATCTAGCAAGGCCTGTCAAAGTCACTGTGTTTTTACTATTCTTCAGCAACCTAACCTAGATTTTTCTTCGCAATGGTCTCCCCATCTTCTTCACAAAGGCCATCTTGGTTCAGGCTTCTCATCTCTGATTGAAATTGTACAAGGGTTTACTTGATGACCTCCAAGGCTCCCTGCTTCTCCCAGGACCCAGGCCAAAGCTGGTCCCCAAACTACACCAGGAAGATCTTTCCACATGCCAGGACCGTCCCAAATGTCAATCATCTTAAAGGGGGCCCACCCTGAATGTCTCCAACAGCTCTAGTACCTGAAGACTGAGTGTTCCTCTAACTTTTGGAATGGTTCACAATGAAAATATTTCGTTCTAATCTAAACAAAATGTTTTAAAACATTTAGTCAGATATGCTACCCCCTCGGAGGTGGCAAGTTTCTTGAAATAATAAGGGCGTCTTTTTTTATTTCTATATCCCTAGAACACAGCTCAGAGCTAGGCCCACAGGAGTAATTACCCAGGCCATGATTATGGAAGTTCGATGAACTGGCCTAAGGATACTGTATCTTGGCGGCATATTGCTTGTTGATGCCTTGGGTTCAATCCCCAGCGTGTCTGAGAAGTTCTGTGACCTGGTGGATAATGGCTAATCAGAACTTGTGGCGCTAACGAGACAGCCAGGGTAACTAGACATGAGCTGATAAAATTTCAGCCAAAACAGATTAGTCCACGCCAGCAGCTTTATCTGACACTGACAGACATGTTTTCCATTATAATTTTTTATTAAAAAATGGTTCTTATAGCTCTTTATTAATTTATTTTAGACCAGGGTTCTAGACTGGGATCTGTTAACTTGTTCCACTTGCTCTTCTACCCATGAGGAAGCTACTATTGTTCAAATTGCCTCGAGACCCTCATCAGAAGACACATTTGATGAGGTATGGACACACATAAATGGGAGTCCTCTTTGGATGAGCTTCTAAGACATAATCAGAAGATAAATAGAAATTACCAGTAAAACAATTTCTGCCTCATGATGGATATTCGTATCTATTTAAAATTTCAGCGGTAGCCTTTCTGTATTTTATGCCTCAGGAAATGAAATCTATATTTTGACATTTAATTGCTCTTTGCTATATAACACCTCACCTAACTTCCCAAAATTCTATAGTTTCATATTTTCACATGTAAATTGCAAATTGTGTGTGTTTCACATATTAACTGACACATTTAAAAAGTGCAAACAAAAAAATCTACAAAATTCCTAAAATAACTTTAATCTGTCTCTCCTGCAAGAATAGTTGGTAGTCCCAAGGTGATTTGGTGGACAGCAAATAACTTTAGACAGTTATTGTCAAAAGTTCCTGGGTATATTGGTAATCCTGACTGATAGCCAAAAAAAAAAAAAAAAAAAAAAAAGCCAAGACCAGGAATGTTCATGGCCCTGATTCAGACTTGTGTCCATGAAGAGAAGAAAACATTACCAGAAGAACGCCACAGATGGTCCTACCTCCTCAAGAGACCACCTAGGAGGGTGTTTCCCTCACTCATTTACTAAACTGGATTTTCTCTGCTGTTCACTAGCTCAGAAACCTGATTTTATGATCCCAAGAGCTGATACTTCTCTCCTATGGAAGGCAAGAGATTTCCTTATACATGTTTATATAGAGAGAATAAGAAGCCATGTCATCATAGAAGTGGAGCCTTGACGTGGGCTCAGCCAGAACAGCCTCTCCATGGGGGTCCTTGGCTTGAGATATGTCACACTCTAAAGATCTCCAAGTGAGCAAGTTATTAGTACAAATGGAGTTAAATGAGTCGAGCTTATGTAAGAACCTGAGTAAGTTAGCCTCTTGGCCCAGGCATGGTGGTACATGTCCCAGGCATGGTGGCACATGTCCCCAGCATGGTGGCACATGTTCCAGGATTACAAGCCTGTAATCCCAGCACCCAAGAGGGGCGACAGAAACAGAAGTGTAAGTTTGATTCCAACTTGGGCTACTTAGTAAGACTCTGTCTCCCACATACAAACAAAACCCCAGAATCCTAGTTTCATCTGATCCCTAATATGCTGCATGGACGTGGTACCAAAATGTTCTCTGTTCTGCTGTCCTTGTGTCTTCAGGTACAATGGAACAGGCACAAAATCTATAATCGAGGAACTGGAGCTGAAACAAGCTCAGCGATGAGAAATCCCTCACCTCAGATCTCTCCTCATCTGTTAAATGGGAATGAATCTTTAATAAAAACCCCACAGAGTAGTGACAAGGGTCACACTGGGCTCCGAAGTTATCTAACTCATATAACATGTTCGCTGTTACTTTTGTTATTCTTATGTAAGATTTGGAAATAAGACAATATGTCTTTCATTAAGCAGTTTGTAATTGACGCAAACAGAAAAACCACTCCTCAAATATGAGGCGGGTTTTAACACACCACCACTAGCCTGTCCTCTCTTCCAGAACATCCATGCCTCTTGCATCCGAAATATCGGTGCCACATTCCTCTAAAGGCCCTCTCTGTGAGAGCATCCAACTGGACAGATCTCCTGAAGACGAGAAAAATCCCACTGCTCATGGGCCATCTTGCATATGGCTGGAAGCTCCTGTGATATGAGAGCTAGAAACTGGGTGGAGCCCCACCCAAAAACTTTCCAGGCCTTCTGGGTACCAGAAGGAGATCCCCTGAAGCCGGAGGGATTCCATTAGCAAGTAGTTACAGACACAAGCAGCTAAGCAGCCCACCCCTTGTTGAGAAAAAACAGCTTTGACAAATGAATTGGCTTACCAGAGGGCCAATCATCACAAGTGGCTCGAACGTGGCCCAAAGAACTGAGAAGCCCTTGCAAATCTCTCTCTGTTCTTCACGAGATGGCAAGCTGTGGAAAGCAGAGCAATGTTGTCATTTGTTATGTGGTCTCATCATTAGACTGCCAACCTGACTTCCATGCCTTCGACTCTCTAACGCCCACCTTCTGCTTCAACACCGACATCCTGACTTGATTGTCATGCCCAGACCATTTCCTGCCCATTTATGCTCATACTGCGGCCTGTTGACAGTTTGGGTATAGGTAAGAGGATACAGGTCTGTATATATTCATGCAAAGCACTGAACACGGCATTAGTGTTGTGTGGACGAATGGATGACTATGTGACTTCAAAATTAACAATGGGTGTCTGTGTTTTTTCTCCCTCGGAGATGCACCAGTTGACTCCCTTGTGCGATTCTAGGATGAGCCCAATTGCATGTTTTTTACAGTTGGTGAAACCTGAGGGCTCAAAATGAATTTTAGGCTACATTCTCAGGCACGCAGTCAGAGTCCAGGGCTTAGAAACCAGCAGGGACTGACTAGGTTATGAGCGAAGGTCTGTAATGTGGGTTGAAATCTTTTCCTTCTCAGTCTGTGTCTCAATGAGCCTGTGTGAACGACAGTTTTCTTGGGTCAGAATAAGTCCACAGAAGTAAAAACAAAACTAATATTTCTCAAGTGCCCAGAGACATGTGCTTTTCCTACATTTCCTGTATGTAGTAAGCATAGTTATTCCCCATGTCACCACTGAAGAAGCTGAGTCTCCTATGGGGAATGCACCTTGCCCAGAACTATGTCACTGATTCATGCATCCTAGATTCCAGAACCACATCATCAAAGCTTCCAGGTGGGAAATACCTGGCTGAAGTATCAAAGAGGACTATCAACTGCAATTAATGAAAGCCAGCAGGATGACTTGCAGGGGGCAGGGAAGAAAGAGCATTTTTATCATAAGAATGTGGGCGCTTGATCTGAAACACACACAAAAAGGAAACAAAACCAAGTCCCACCACCAAGCCTAGGAATATTTATGTTTAGGACATGCCCAACATTCTTATGATGAACCACCCTGAAGCTCAGCCAATGCTTCCCCAAATGTGACCTCTCGCATTATTTGGGGACTTCTTAGAAGTAGAAATTCTCTCCCTCCACCCCAAACCTACTAAATCAGAAAAATAGAGATGAGGCCCAGAAGCAGTGGCTTTTGTTTGTTTGTTTGTTTGGGGTTTTTGTTGTTGTTTTGTTTTGTTTTTAAGTCCTTCCAGGCACTTGGTGTTCTAGAAGTACTGACTTAGGCATCTCTAGCAATGGGTACAAAGCACGGGAATGTGCCAGGCATTGAACTTGGAATGCTTTCAACAAGAGATAGTGTTGGGTTGTTTTTTTTTTTTCTCTCTAAGATTTATTTATTTATGTGCATTTATGTGTGCCTGCATGAGATTATGTGCACCATGTGCTTGCAGGTGCCCTAGGAGGTCAAAGAGCTTCAGAAGCCCTGGAACTGGAGTTACAGACAGTTGTGAGATCTGAATGCTGGGAGCTGTACAATGATCTCCTGGGGAGAGCAATAAGTGTTTATAACCACTGGACCATCTCTACAGCCCCAAAGACAGCTTTTTAATTGTATCTTCCATTTGTTCCTCTCTGGAGTTTATTTCTTCCTCCATTTACACGCTTCTGAACCTCCCTTCCTGTCCATTGCAGGCAATGTGACTAGAGGCATTTAATAACCTTACATTATTTTAAGTCAATGGCCCAAAGGAGGACCAGTCCCTCCTCCCACTGATTCCAAACCCCCAGGGGCTGAATGGCATGAGATGTAGGTTCCTATTCCTGGTCCTATCAGCTGTGATCAACATACAGATGGCAGAGTGGAGGCCACGACCACATCACTGTTACCACAGAGGCTGACATAGAAGGGAAAGAAAAAAAAATTGAAAAGAGAAAAAATTGAAAAGTCAAACCAACCACTGAGCCCTCACTATGGCTGGTATGCATAAAATGTGCATACAGATAGGTAAGAAATGAGAATGCTCTATTGAGCCAGCACACAAACCAGAATTCAAGTGGACATTGGCTGCGGAAGTGTGCCCATGTTGGTGCTAATGGCCATCAGAAATAATCTTACTCTCCTTGAACTAGAGGAGACACAGTAAACAGTCAATCCATCTGGTTTGCAAATTCTCTCCTAAACAAGCCTACGCAGAAGATTCCTGGGGCTAAATAGAGCCAGCTCTGTTTTCTTAGAAGGAGAACAATGGAATGTGGGATGTTGGCCCAAGCCGCTGGCCAAGCTGGGTCAGAGGAAAGGCTCAGATACATTCATTAATGTTTTGCAAACCTACCCGGTCCACCCACCTCCTTGCCAATCTTCACTCCAAACGTGCAGGGGGAAAAAAAAAAGCACAAAGTTGCTGAAGAATGATTCAGGCTGAAGTCTATGCTGATCTGGTCAGGTATTCAGAGAGACTTCCCGGTAGGTTCCAGAACACCCTTGATGCCTTTCTGAGGAGGAAGCTTTTCCAGTAGGTGCTGCTCCAACTACTGCTGAGTTTGCTGTCTCCCTTCTTGGAGCTACCCTGGAATAAGAGCTGTGTTGTCGTTCTGAGCCATGGGTTTGCTTACAAGAATTCTTGTCCCTTGGAGTCACGGGAGGAAGAGGTGCTGTTAGGTATGGAACTGGACCATGGTCAAGCCTTGGGGGACCCAGCTGGACCTGGCAAACTGAGTCATCTGAACTCGACGGTCTTCCATCTCCTCCACTAAAATGGGCATTGCAGGGAGGTTTGCCTGTTTGGTTACACATCCCTCTCCAAGGCTCACAACAATGAGGCACTGACTGGGATTGCTGCCTGCTCACCAGACACTTCCTTACTTGACCAGGGCTCAAAACAGGCCAGAAAAGGACCCAGGAAGCAAATGTCAAAGCCATCCTGAGGACAAACAGGTACCTGCCTTGTTTGTTGGATGACACCTCCACTCCCTTGACACTTTCTGAAAGCCAATTTCTACAGTAGCAGCTTTAGTGGTGTGTGGAGTCCAAGACACAAACCTACAAGAGCAAAGGGCATCAGATCTTTGCCACAGGCTGTGGCTACTTGGCAAGTCATTAAACCTCCTTAGCCTTCTTTGCCAAGAGTCCATATAGCTGAGCAGATGGCCACAAGTAAAGGACTGGATAGTGGCAATTCCCTCTTGAATCTTGTCAGCAACATTCTGAGGTCTGGAGAAGCTTGACAATGTTCCAAGATCATATAGTTACTGCACAGTCCCAGGGGAAAGACAGCTCTCTCTGATGCCCACGTAGCTCCTAAGCCTCGTTCTTCCAGCATAAACAATCACACACTCCAATCTCTGCCTTGGAGGATGGTGTTCTGTGTCTGCCGGGAATGAGGAGAGGGTCAGTTCAGGGAAGAAGAAGCAGGGAGACTGGGGTCTGAACATGGTTCTTACACAGCCCACCTGTTCTTGACTCCTAGAAAAATCAGACTCAGATTTGTGGCTCCTTGGAAGCAAATGTGAAGACTGATAAGATCTTTGAGGCGTGCTGTCCCATCGAGCCCAAGACTCTTCTTCTTCTTTCCGACTTTCTCTTTTACCAGGTGCTTTCCTGGAAATGCTCTTCATTGTGTTCTTTTGAAAGTGATCTGCCTGCAGGTGTTTTATAAAACAGGTAGATGATCCTTTGGAAACTCGCAGACGAGAGGCCATCCTGTGGACAGGAAAGCACAGACACTGTTCAGATTCACTCCTGTGGGCCCACTTCCCTTTAAGAGCCTTCTCATTCTGCAAGGGGGACCCTCGCCCGCTTCACCTACATTTAGGTATAGGTTATAGAGGAGGCCTGATGTAAGCAACTGGAATGTGGGAAAAAGCATCAGTCAAGCTGCTGGGCCACCCAGGGGTGTTCCCAGCTTCAACAAATGTGGGCATGGTGCTCTACCAGACGTTCTGAGACGTCCTGCCCTGTTCCCAGTTCTTGTTGGATGAGAGTTTCAGTTTTGTTAAACCCAGGACCATTGCCTAGGCTCTCGGTGCCACCCCAGAAGCCCTTAGTTGGCTGATGGTAAATGCTAAGGGGCAAGAAGGAGAAATCAGAAGTACCTAGGAAGGCAGGTACTAAGGATGCTTACAACACTGCCCTTTCAGGTCGGTGGATTAGAACAGCAGTAACTAAGTCCCTTAGGGGAGGGACAGAGAGGGACTTCCAGGCAGAAAAACCTGTATTTTCCCACGTGACCATTAGCATTTCTAGAGAAAGATGATGCTCCCGACCTAGGAATTAGCTAACCACTGTCTTTTGAAGAACAGGTCATAAATTCAAACCCAGTGGCAATAGCCATATAGAACAATCACCCAATAGCTTGTGGCAGGCCCGCCATATGGTAGACCTGTCCCGATCATGTAGTAACTGAGATGCTTATTCTAGTGTTATTAACTGAATTAATAACTCATTAAATACTTTCTCTCTCCACTCTTCTCTGTTCTCACTATTCCATGCTTACCACACTCTAGCTGTGGGCATCAGTGGGCCCAGCTGCTTTCAGGGAAAAGAGGAAGCTTGTGTTTGTGAAAGAGTCCCTGCAAACTTGGTTGACAGGCTAATAAACTGGTTCTGAGACCCCCCCTTCATTCTCACGTGCATAGTCTACCCCTGTGGCACGGGCACTCCGCGAAGTACATCTTACCACAAGCGAAGTACATCTTCCCACAAAGTCACGTGTAAGCCCAAAAGCCCACAGGACTCTGGAGAATCCAGCAATGGGAGACCCCAGCAGCTGAGCTGTTTAGAATCTCCAGTTAGAAAACAAGTTATCAAGAAGAGAACTTGCTCTGTGTCTTCCCCGGTTCCTCCTAAAGCTGCTACCCACAGAAGACGGCACAAGTGTGGGTTTTCATTGTTGGCAGCAGCTCCCCGCCCAGCCCACTCGGCACAATTCCTGGAAGACACTTTGTCAGGCACAGCCTATGCAGTTCAGCCACTCCAACCAGTATCTGTGGGTACTGCGCACCCACTGCTTAGTCAAATCCATCCCAGCAAGGCCCATGCATGGCCAGGCTCCTCCCCCACCTCAGACCTGAAATGCATGGTCACCTTGGAGGACTAACAGGTCATGAGTTCTCATATTTCAGCACAGCGTATCACTTGAACTGGGTCAAGAAATCAGAAGGTAAAATATAAAGTGCATGGATTTAATAACAATAAACAGGCTGGCAGGGATACCAAGCAGGATTGTTTACACTGCTGGTAAGAATTTAAAATGCTATAACTTGGCTCGGGCATGTACTCAGTGCTAGGACACTGGCCTGCTATGTGCTTGGATTCAGCTCTGGCATTTAAAGAGTAACTTACAGGTCTCAAAGGGGGAGTGACAGTTTGGCAATACATCAATTTGAAATGTCTTTATAGTCAAACTGGACCTTAAATCATCGATCTTACTTCTAGGAATCTCTTCGAAGGAAGGAAGACATACTCAAAGACCAAACTTGTTTATTTGAAATATCTTATATTAGTGAAAAGCTGCATGCAAGCTAAATATTTAAAACAGAAGATTGATCAAATAAATAGTATGGCTTATATAATGAAATACTATGCAATCTTTGTAAATTACATGGAAATATATTTATAGGTTTAAAATGTTTCACAATGCTTAGTTCAACAGGAATGCTGGTTGCAAAAAACATATCTTGAAAACCCTGAGATGCTGCAAAAAGACATACAGTGTAAATACAGCCTTGGATTTATTTATTATTTATTTATTTGGTTTTTCCAGCCAGGGTGTCTCTGTAGTTTTAGAGCCTGTCCTGGAACTAGCTCTTGTAGACCAGGCTGGCCTCGAACTCACAGAGATCCGCGAGTGCTGGGATTAAAGGCGTGCGCCACCACAGCCCAGCCAGGCTTGGATTTAAATGATTGGATTTATGATCACTTTTCATCTTTTTTCTTCTTCCTCAGTATTTTCTCACTTGTATGCAATAAGCGTACATTATGTACATAATAACAAATAAAATACATTTTGCTTTTCCAAAGGTTGCCTGTGTGCCCAGAAGTGAGTTCAAATCCCAATCAGGCCACTGGTGCGCAGAGGGGCCCTTCAGGCTCCACTTCTGCCCAACCTCAGCTTCCTCATGTCCTGGATGGGGCTAGTGTGTTCCTCTAAGGGCGGCTGTGAGGTTTAAGGAGGAGGGCATAACCAAAGTGTGGCCCAGAACACACACTGGACAACGTTTTTTCCTTTCCTTCCTACGAGTATAAAATAACTTGGGCATAAGAGTTCACAAGTATGGTGAAAGACAACCCTAATCAGGTAAAATATCTGAACTGTCTGGAGAGGCACTAAGGATACAGCTCAGGAGTAGAGCACTCCCTAGCATGCCCAAGGTATAGTTTCAATACCCAACAATAAGAACAATGAACAGAGGCTTGTGTTAAATACCCCTGTCTTAATAATTTAGATCAGGTCTTAATCTTACCCAGCAGGAGGCCAACACCCCTATCATTAGTCAAGTTAAAAAGGCCGGTTGTGTTACCCAGCCCCACCAGTAGGTGGGGCCGATCTCTACCCGTGCCCACACAGCCAGTCACACAGCTCTTTAGATACCGGCCACTGGGCATCGCCGTCTGGAACACACCCCCATCAGAACCGACTGCAAACGTCCAGGGCTTCCCTCCCCACATACTCCTACCTCACACCACTTCCTGTTAGCAGCTCCCCCCCTCCTTTATGACCACCCCACCCTGCCTTCAAGACTCACTCTTCGGAATGAGACCCCCTCATCCATAAATGGGATTCTCTATCAGAAACCCAGCTGGAATTTGCCCTGCCTTTTCCCAGCTTCTCTTTCACTCCTCCAACTTTACAACTGCCTGGTAAAGCTAAGCACTGTGCTAGGAACCAGTGAGGAATCACGCACAGGCCCCGCTCTGGCAGCCTCCCAGCCTGGAGGAGAGAGGCCGTCACGTGACACCACTGTGTTGTAATGACTATTATACTGAACCGCCAATGCAGGCTAACAAGGCCAGCAACTGTCCTCAGCCGTTCATACAGGTGAACGGTCCTCACAACCTAGCTCACAAGCCAGAGTAAAATCAGTCGGGTTTAACAAGAGGATGAAGCACGGGGAAGGTCAGGAACTTGTCTAAGCACAGGCTTAAAATAACCAAAACTGTATTTGGAGTGAAATTTTACACTCGTAAATTACCAAGAAGCCCAGGGTGGCGGTGCACACCTGCAATCCTAGCATTTAGGAGGGAGAGACAAGACTGAAGTTCAAGGTGAGACTTAGATACATGGTGAGCTCAAAACCAGCCCAGGCTACGTGAGACTGTGACTCGAAAGCTCGGCGCTGGAGAGATGGCTTAGTGGCTAAGGGACCTGCTACACTTCCTGAGGACCAGAGTTCTGTTTCCCGCACCTATCATCCCTCACACCAGCTCCAGAAGATCTGGTGCCACTTTTGGCCTTCTTGGGTGCCAGGAACACATGTATGCAAGCAAAACAGTCATACACATAAAATAAGTATTCTTTAGGTATGACTTCAAGATACTCAGGGAGGAACGGCGCTTGTCACCCAGCCTCATGCGTTGAGTTTATTGCCAGGACCCACATAGTAGGAGAGAACCAAGTCTTGTACATTGTCTTCTGACCACTACACATGCATACATGTAATAAGAATTAAGAATGCAATTAACTATGAAACAAAACATGACTCCAAAGAGCTATATGGGTTATATCTAGTAAAGTCTGCTATATTATAGATTAGAACTTAGAAACATTATATGTATTTATTAAATTTTATATAACTAATTGATCCATTACATGTCAGTCTAAATGATATTTATAAATTAAAAGCTACATAAAAATTCTTGAAAAAAGACTATATTGTCTCAAGTGTTTATAGGTATCTTCAATGTCTGATTCTTTTTTCTTTTTCTTGTTTGCGCTACTACAGATTGAACTTGGGGCTTTGCACAAACTAGGCCGGTGTTCTACCAATGAACTACATATATCCCCAGCCCTGATTCTGACCAATTAGCAAGTAAAATAGACTCCTGTGTCTTACCTTCACTCTCTTTTGTGGTTCGCTATTTGGTCGCAGTGTGAGAAAAGGTTCGGCCTCACACAGAACTGCTGGAAAGGGAAGGGTGTCTGGCCAGACCACTCATAACAGCAGATACCCCGCTTGGATAGCCCGCCAAAATGTGACGAGTGCTGCTTTCTGAAAGGCTTGCTGCAGAGCGGAATCTGGAACCAATGGATGTGGTCTGCATGTTTGTGTCCCTTCCAAACTTCATGTTGAAACGGAGCCTCCAATGCTTTAGTATTAAGCAGTGAGACCTTTAGAGGGGATTGGTGATCTTATAAAGGGGCTGGAGGAAATCATCAGGGCCTGTTTCGGTCTTTTATAGTAACCTCCCATCACTATGGTGAAAAATCTGCTATGATAAACATTGTGCAATAGGAAAAGGATTGTTTGGGCACAATGTTTTAGAAGTTTTAGCTTATCATCTAGAGTCTCACTGCCTTTAGAGCTGTGTCGGGGCAGCATTATCATGGTGGGGAGTGTGTGGCAAAGCAGAGGAATCACCTCGGTCAGGAAAAGAGGGAGAGAGAAGGGTTGTGATCCTCTGTCCTCTTCAAGGGCCTCTGGTGACTCTAAGAACCCCTGCTAAGTCACACCTCATGAAGGTACCAGGCTGGGGATCAACCC